TGCCAACACGAGTGTGTATTGGATGAAAAGTGACGCGTGTTTGCGGCTTTCACGCGCTCAACACGGTGTGAGAATCACTCATGGATCCGGTAGCAATCAGATATTGAAGCACGAATCCAGACCAAACCTGGATGGATCCTTCGAAGGTGTAATAGACGACGTGTACCGGAACAAGAAGAACAACTGTGTGAATCTGCGCGTGACTTTGGCCACGAGTGGGTTGAAAACCAGTGTCTATTGTGATATTGCAGCTTCGCATGTTGGAAATCCTCTGGGTGTATTACCGGGGATGAAAGTCAGGATCAGTAACTTGGTGAAGAAGACGAGTGGCTCAGGGAATCATTACTATGTTGCTACTGCCATGAGTGATTTCTTTGTTGGTCCAAAAGTGTCTCGTTCGGAATCGTTGTGGCCTTTGGTGTCTCTGAGTCGACTTCTTCCCGAAAAACTTGCGTGTGTCAGGTTTTTGTTGATTTCTTTCAAACCCTGGTTCCCGGTGGAGTTTGAAGCCACGTGTGACTCGTGTAGTCGACCTGTGCCAAATGAGAGTCTTGAAGGACCGAATTGTGATACTTGTCTGGATTCTGGGTGGGTTTTGACGGCTTCAGGAAAGTTTGTGGTGAGCGATGGGACTTGTAGCAATTTTGTGCTTGAGGCAAAGAATGAGCAGGTTTTGCAATTGTTGGGCATCAGAGGAGGGTTTGTGGAGGATTTCAAGACGTTTGTGAGGAATGTGAGAGTGTTTCACTTCTCTCATCGGAACCCGGTCCCTGTTCCTTCGGTGAGTGTATGTTGGACATTTGCTTGATTACCTGGTGTTGAAAAAGTGGCAAAAGAACGTAAATGCTTTGTTTCAGTGAACCGCATTTACGAGACTAAGCTACTCATTTTTGAAAGGGTGTAAAGATTAATTTGCAAATGTAAAAAGTTTCTGTGTTCAACGCAGTTATCTACAAAGGCTTGTGATTCCTGCGTAGTTCTATTGTACAACAATTGAGGATTTTTTTTTAATTTATCCATATCAGGTGTCAATTTAATTTTGGAAACAAAATTTGCAGGTATTGGAGGGAAGCAGCGAGTTTGCAGCCAAGAAAAGAATGGCGATGCAGAAGATCTTGATGCACTTTAGGCCAAAGAACGCGTTAATTGTTGCTGCGAAGTGTCTGCTTTTCCAGCATCAGACGTCCAGTCATGACAAAAGCGGTATTGAAGGTGAGATCTTATTGTTTGCAGAATTAACTCTTGACTTTCAAAGAATACAGTATTAGATTTTGGGTTTTACTTTTTTCTGAAACTTGAAATTTGAGCTTGAGAGCAAGCAACATTTTCTATCTGTTTGTGACGTGGAATATACATGACTTTCTTCCTAATATGCAAGTGAAGACGTTGCACTGCGTTGTTGACACCCTAGATTTTTTGTCAATTTTTTCAGCAAAGTTTTTTTATGCAAAATGACAACATAATTGGTGTTAGCTCTCTACCTAACTGAGCTGAGCCAAATAACTACTCAAACCTAATGAAATGTTGTACAGTACTTGATATTTTAAAGCACATTTTTTCAGTACACTGAATGTTTATAATTAAATTGCCTCTTATTGTCAGAGTTTTTCCACTCATCTCACAGTGTGCTAAAAATGTGTCAAGAGAGTCAACAACAAATAGCAATTTTGCTACTGTTTGGAGTGAAGTATAATCTTTCTGAAACCATGTGGCCTTTTTATGATTATTTTTGTAAAAATAAATGAAAAATACAAAACTTTTTGAAAGTTACAATTGTATAGTGTTATTGTCAAATTTTTAAAAGTTTTCTTCAATCATTTTCAGTGGGTCTGATTTCCTCTGCTGTGAAATCATTTTTTATTAGCTTCCAGTAAATTTTGCAATGTTTATTGGCTGAATGAGAAAGAAGTTTTTTTTTTTAGTAAATCTTTTTGGCTGCGGTAAAGTTTTTTTTTTTTATATCAGAAGAGCCCAGTTATGGTGAATGTCTCGTAAGTACTGTATTCTTTAAAAGTTCTCTTACATCCTAGGTTCGACGTTTTGGGGACGCTTGTATTGCCAGAGTGTGGAAGAAGTGACAGATTTTGTGGAAATTCCAAGCGATTGGGTCCGTTCGGAAGAAGAAAATGAAGAAGAAGCCGAGAGCTTTCCCTTTGACATTTTAAATTTCAATCAGTGAGAAGAGAACGTTTCGCAAAAGAATTTGTGCGTCGTATTTTGAATATTGCGAGTTTTGTTTTACTGTACTGTACTTGCATTTNTTATGGAATGCTGAACTTGGAGGCAAGGGTTCATTTTTGCCATTTGTCTTCCATTTTGTTTCAAAACACACTTGTTACTTCTTTTTATTCCTTTTCTATTTTATGCGTCAATAAAATAATTGCAAGAAGGCCTCAGTTACATAGTTAGTTTGAAATTCAGTTACAGATGTTTGAGAGGGAAAGCTGTTGAGTTACAAAGGTTTTTCATGAATTGTTTTTAAGGGAATTCAGACAGGTACTTTAAAAAATGTTGACATGGTGATGTGCTTGATACATGTGGGGAGGTTCAAGTTAACTGAGTTCAACTTAACTGTTAATCATATGAGCTGATCAATCTGTTCTCTGTAAAATTCGGAGTGCCTCCACATTCACTCTCCAGAAGAGCTTTTTGACAAATAAAAGGAACATAAAGCATTGTACGTTGAAGTACCCTCAGTGCCAAGTTTTCCATTCTTCTGCAACTACCAAATAATCTCCATGACTGCAGGGAATCAGGGCAAACAGCTTTCTGCTGAGATCAAGGGTGAACAATCTGTTTTGTTTGAAAGAGCTTTTGAACAGTGTTCCTTCAAACAAAGTCTGAACCCTTAGGAAGTTTCTATGATGGAAAAAATTTTGAGAGATAAGTATGGAAATATTTTATTGTAGTTAATTGGATTCAGTACAAGGCCTGCAAATACTTGTGCAGTGACAAAAACTTCTCCATAACTCAAAAGTAAAGGTCGGGTTATTATTTTTGAAGAAAATTAAATTGTTTGCACATGGTTCACAGTTTGCTTTCAATTTTCAGATTCAGTAGGGAAGCATAATGGTTCATCATTCAAAGCAAAATTTACTAATCTATCAACTTTTGCCAACATCATAATACTGTATTTCTGTATATAGCCACAAGAGTGTTGGCCATCTTTGCAGGCTTTACCTGCTTCAGGGAGTTAATTCTGCCTGCGTTTTATTTATATGCGTGGGTGCTATAGTACGAGCCTCAAAATTACTCCACTGACTAACCTCAAAAGATGAAAGTATTTCAAAATAATTCAATAGACTATTACACTGATCGCTTCAAAACCAGATAGCCCTTACTCCGAGATTTATTTTTTCTATAGAGTACATATTCAGCCAATCGTCAGAATAATGCAGCTTTGCGCAATTTTATCAGCTTTATTATTTGCAGCTGGGGTCTCAGCTGATGTGAGTATAAGGCTGAATATTATTTTTTGGGCTTTTGGCGGCTTTTGATAATTTTCATTTGTTCTCTAGACAAAATTGGAGGAGATTGAAGCTCGGCTGAAGAAGCTGGAAATGGAGAACACAAAGGTCCTTGCTCAAAACAGGGCTTTGCACCTTCAGATGGATGTCATCAGGAAATCAGAGAAGCAGCTGAAATTGCAACAGGAAGGTCTTCTGTCAAGGCTTGAAGATGTTGAGATGAAGCAGAACAATGGTTTGTTTCAATTCCAAGGCACTAACTATGTGCCAGAAAAAAAATTCCCCATGCATTCTTGAGAAAATTAGTTCATCAATTGTCAAGTTTGAAATAGTAAGAAATTCTTATCAATAATCAACTTGTTTTTTTTTATCATGGAATCTATACTGTACTGCAAAACGCAATAGGCCATGCTGTAGGGTTCTTTACCCATCTTATCCCTTGGACAGTATTAGTGGGAGCCTCCTTTCCATCCCATGGTAAAGTTGGGATTTTTTTGCATGCATGCAAGCGCGCATTTCAGCTTGACTGACAGTGGTCAAATGTGTTTGGGTTGTGTTAGCAAAAATTTGGGAAGAGTGGATCCTTTTGTTTTCAGAAATCTTCATGCTAATGTTATGCAAGAGCAAGAAAAATGCCACCAGCGCTTATTTTTCAGCAAAAATCTTCTGCTGCCAGCGAAAAAAAAAACAATATTAGACTTTTTCCCAACTTAGGCCATGGTTTTCAGTTATCTTTTTTATTTTATTGCTCTTGAGCACACAATTTTTCAAAAATATCCAGGCTTTGCCACAGGAGGGTTATATATATTTGTTCTCTGCAATGCCAAAAAAATGTCTGGTCCCTGAATTTTGTGTTGGAGAGAATCCAGGTGTATTTTTTGTTGGAAATTAGAAAAAGTGAGTGAGATAATGACTGAATGTGAAAGACACAAATTTTGAAGAATTGTTAGACCATGGAAAAAGGGCTAAAATCTGGTAGGAATTTCAGGGAATCCAAGGTAAACCCAGAGTTCCCCCAAGGGTTTTCCTGTATCCTTAGGATTTCCTGGGATAATTCAATCCTCAGGGACAAAATTTTGCATGGAAGAGGTTTTAAATGCTGCTTCTTTTTCTGTATCATCATCAGTTGCTTTTTGGCAGTCTCACACAAAAGATGTAAGTCTCATTAAAATTGTTTTGCTTTGAAATCCTTGCTTTCTTGTCAAATATACCAACTTCACACTAGGGTGTCAAGCACCTGGCCATAGCCTGGCTGATTGCTGTCTTCTTTATTCAAAAAAGATTTTATCTTTTCAATTCCAAACACTATTTTCTTGTTTCAAAAATGGGTACTTTCCTGTAATCTCTGTACCTACTTTCCTGTTATCTCTGTACCTTCTGTCTGACCAATTTAACCATGACCCAATCTAACTATGTTATGTTATGTTAATTAGGTTATGTTAATTAAAAGATATTTGTAATAACCTAACTTTACCTGAGTTTCAGCAGAATGCGGAAAAATAAAATTCACAGTTTCTGGTAGGTTGTTGTGATTTCCAACTCATCCTAATGATTTGTCTGGATGGTAGTATGGTCTAGGAATGAGGTACAGAGATAACAGGAAAGTACCCAAAAATGTTGTTTAGCTAGTCACTTTTTCAAATGCAAATTTTGTTTTCCCTGAGTTACTCATAATGTGGGGGTGTGTGCTGTGCCCTACAATGATCTCTGCCCTGCAGAAACAGTGGTGGCTTTCAGCATCTACCGCACCATCGACTACGACCTCCTGGACTCTGTGATCCCGTACCAGGCAGAGCACTTGAACATCGGCGGCGCCATCGACACCCGCGTCGGAGTGTTCA